GGTTGGCACAATTACCTAACTCACTATCCAACACCCCTGACACCCCACTTGCACTTGCCAGAAGCCCATTCACAGTCAAAGTTGAAGATGTTCCTGAGACAGCACAAGAGGAGTTCATTGAACTTATTAACAGTGATGCAGCAAGAACTGATTTCTCTACATTGCCAGCTATAAAGTTCTGGATCGTGTTTGCAGTCATATCCTGTTCTGTCTGAGACTGTGTTGCACCTTCTTCTTTCATGTCCAGCAATTTATCTTTGTGAAAAGGGGTTTTCCAGTTTGTTGATTATCAAGTATGAATACAGAAGTAGACTTGTTGTGGAAGATGATCTTCACTGTGTTCTTGCAAAGACTTCCCTGAGAATTCCTGATCTGGTGAGAAAGAAGCTATTTCAACCTTCACACCAATGTTGGTTTTTTACCCATACTGTCGCAAAATGTAGCAAAGCAGTTTACTGTTGTTATATTAAGACTGTTACCCATGCTACACCATGCTTCAAGATAAATCTTCATTTATTTGTAATTAGAAATAAATATTTCACGATACATAATTACATATTGCTTTTGTGATTAATCACTTTAATTATGTTCAATTTGTAACAATAAAAATATCCTGCATATCAGATATTTACATGATGATTCATAACAGTAGCAAAATAACAGTTATGAAGTAGCAACGAAAATAATTTTATGGTTGGGGGTCACCACCACATGAGGAACTGTATGAAAGGGTCCAGGCACGAGGAAGGTTGAGAACCACTGTTCTAGAAAGAAGATTTGCCCCTGTCCCCGCCCCCTCCCCCCTTATTTATTTATTCTTTCAGTCCGTTGTACTTTTTTTCATTTGAAGCTTAAAATTAATATATTACAATTCATAGACCACAAGTACAATGTGATACATTCACATGGGTTCATAATAAAAACGGAATGAAAGCTACATGGTGGAAGTCTTCCTCTCACCCAGGTGTCCTTCCCAAAGGCAGCCAGATGAACAGAGATCTTAGGATTAGCCAAGCAGCATCCATCCACTTCGTCTTCTTTTAACACCAATATTTTTAGTGGATTCATCGTGTTCTTCTCCTTCTCACCGAACCATAGACTTCACAATGGATCCAGACCATGGCCTAGCTTTCTCGTTCCTTTACAGCGTTCCAGTCTACCAACGGGACATAACTTATTCATATATTTATTAATAGATAGGCCTCTATTCATCTTTGTATAACAAATTCCAGAGGTAAGTCAACATTTCACATAATTTTGAAATCGTGATGTACATGCATTATATTTCACAACAACTGTAATATTGTAATATATATGAAATTTCCGTTGGTGACAAAGCCATCA